AAGGTGTTCGAAAACTTACGGGCTATTTGTTTGGTTGTAAATCTAATTCTTTTCCTACTTTATTTTATGACAAAACAAATTACAGTATTTGATTGGAAGGAATTTCAATTTCCTCCTTTTGTTGAATTGTAATTCATGGGTACCCTTCATGAATTGTAATTCGGTGATTGTGGGAAAAGAAAAAATGGAGGAAATGACAAACGGGCTCTTGGTTGTTGTTGTTGTAGATTTAGTCTTAATACCACTTCTTTCCTTCTCGTTCCTAATAATTCTATTCATCCCTTGTGACCTGAATAATGCTGCTGACAAGATTGCCAAACTAGCTCCTAGAATGAAGTGCGATTGGATTGAATTTCAGAGTCTGCCGAAGGAAATTTCAGATCTCCTTATCGATCTTGAGGTTGATAGAGCCAAGACTTCGGAAGAATGCTTGATGTAACTACTGAGTGCTAGTCGGGTACACCCCCCCCCCCCCCGGCTTTCCCCCCAAAAAATAATTCTATTCATTCCTAGTTCCATACCAAACAATGTAATTTGAATTCTTACTTTATTTCCACCTTATTCTTTTTCCACCAACAAATTACAATTATTTTCCCCCTTAATTCCTTCCCTCCATCCAAACGTTCTCCGGTTAATGTTCAAAGCGACTTCGAAGAAGTGGTAAGGTGGTTGAAAGGGACTGAAATTTAGTATGTAATGGAAGAAATCTTTCGAGTATGCTTCTGGCTCATAACTGTATTCGAGTCACTACAAATTTTAATTTCACACTTCGAGCGAGCTGAGTGAGAATATAATTCCAATAATAATAACTAAAAGAATATAATAACAATATATTTCTATGCTTCCTAATTTCCATATACAATGTATTTATTTATGCTAAATTACTAGTACATATAATAATTAACCTACTAAAATTATACTAACTATACAAAGTAATAATTATACATAATTTCCTCATACTAATCAGTCATCTCTAATTATGCACTCTAATTGATTCTTTTCTTTCAGACTCTCCCTAATTAAGCTACACAATTTATTCCTATGATTATTATAGATTTAGGGGCGTATCACAACAATTTGCCGATGAGAAGAATCATGAGTGTTGCAAGCAATGGATCCAAAAGGATCGAGATGTTGTTACGATCGCACATATCTTTCGCGAACAAAACTGTGTTGCCGACAAATTAGCCAAGAAAGCTCCGTGTCAAAGCACTACATGGTGTAGTTTGGAGTCTCATCCCATGCTTTTGAGGCAATATTTGATGGAGGACTAGTTTGGGGTATACCAAGAGTCATGGGAACTTATGGAGCAATTATAAATGGGCCCAGGGCGGAATAATATGGAACAGATTGAGTTCAGGGCACCGAAACCAGACCTGGCTGACCCTTAGCGGCCAAGCTCCGCGTTTGACCACGGGTCGGCCAAGATGGACCTCTCTGGCTGAGGTTGGCCAACTCGGGTCAGCCAACCCAAGGTCGGCTACCTTGGGGTCGGCCAACCCGGGGTCGGCTACCTCGAGGTTGGGCACTTGGTTGAGCTCCGTGCTCGGCCAAACGGCGAGGTCTTCGTGTTGTTCGAGTCCTACGGCCCTGTTGCAGTCCAAGGTGGTTGAGGTGTCCTCCCATGCACCAATTCTATGTGGTTGTTATGGCGAAGTTGGGTATAAAAACCCTCACTCATGTCTTGTTGAGACACAACTTGTCCCAATCCCACACTATGTCTTGTTATTACATTACTGAAACATTTATAATAGGCTAAGCACCTTGTGCTCATATGACACCCCTGTGACTCCCCTTGAGGCACTGCTGAAAATTATGGAATTTCCGACCACCTGAAAGTGATCTTAAATCAAGTCAGAAGCCTTGTTCCGACCACTTTTGGTATCGGAAAAACCTTTGTTGCTATTTCCGACCACTTTTTTCTTTCGATTTGATTTAAGATTACTTTCAGGTGATCGGAAATTCCATAATTTCCAACCGTGAGGGAAGGTTACAAGATCGAACCCCGGTGGTGGGGAATTGACTCTTTGTGCTACAATAGTTGCATTCTGTACTCAATTAATGCAATATTTGTTCCCGTGACTTATATTCATTCGTTTAATCTTACACTTGTCGCATTCCTATATTTAATCGGGCTGGGTTAATATAATCCATCACGAATCACGAACAATGATGCTAGTGGACCCGCGTCTAAAATACACAATTTACTTTTTACAAAATTGTGAATATTCAGTAGGTAAATTGTGTATTTTGGATCCAAATTCACAGAACAGTTTGTCGGTAAGACTAGCCTCGGGCAGTCGGGCTTGTTCTTCCCTTTTTGATCCAAAAACATGATTCAACATAAATATAGTCATTTAAAAATAAGATAGGGTGTGTTTGGTTGGCAGGTTTAGATATCAGGAATGGGCATCAAAGTCATTGTTATTGTTTGGTTGACATGTTTTTAGAACACTACTATGAGTTTTGATTACCCTTAGGGGTCGTTTGGTTCATAGAATGTGAGATTACCTTAGGGAATGTTAGATTGCTGGAAATGTTAGATTCCTGAGAATGTTAGATTCCTGTGTTTGGTTAAAACTGAGGTATGTAATATAAATCTGTTTGGTTGAAGAGTTAATGTTTATGTTATAATGAATATTTTACTTACATATGTCATGTGCATGAAGTTCAAAAGGCTTTATTTTAATTTTTTTACCCACGAAATTTAAATTTTCATCTTCTAAGCAACACCTATTATTATTATTGTTATTTTTTTATAATAAAATATGTAATTATAATAAGAGTAAATACCCAAAATGGTCCCTCGACTATAGCTAAATTCACAAATTGGTCCTCGACTTTCAATTTCAACCAATTAAGTCCTTAACTTTGCAATTTTGACACGATTTGATCCTCCATCTATTTGACCGTTTGTTGACCGCGATCTTTGAGGATATATATGTAGTTTCACGTGCAAAGCTCAAGAGAACGCTCTTGGAGGTGACATCGTTGTTTCGGAGGGGGAAGTGCTTCTCCGCTTGCTGCTTGGGGATCACGACCTGGTTCAGCTTAGAGAACGCTCTTGGAGGTGACAACGTCGTTTCGGGGTGGGGAAGTGCTTCTCCGCTTGCTGCTTGGGGATCCCGAACCGGTTCAGCTTGCCTACATCGCTTGGAGTCACGGCTTTCTCGAAGAGCCACTACAGGGACTTCGGCGATCTATCTATCAAAAGCTATAATCTCTCCGGCATGGGGTGCAGCGCCGGCAGTGGATTCAAATGTAACAGTGCGGTCTAGAAATGCAACCAGAACCTTAAAAAACCGACAATTAGAGCCGTCAAAAATGGGTTTTACCCGCCGGGTCGACCCATCCCGTACCGCCGTAGGTAGGGGACGGGTTCTTCAAATTTTGATCCGCCAGGAGGCGGACTTTTTAGCCCGTCCCGCCTGAGTCACGGGTCCAGGCGGGTCACGGGTTTAGCCCGCGACCTGCTAATACATATTATATATATATATATATATATATATATATATATATATATATATATATTTTTTTTTTTTTTTTTAAGGATATTGTACAGTGATTTTTTTTTTTTAAAAAAAAAAAAAATTAACCCAGTGAAAAAATTGATTGTTGGGCTAGCCCGCCCCGCCAGCGGGCTTTGGCATGGCGGGGCGGGCCGGCCACATTCCAAGCCCGCCAAGAGGCGGGCTTTTTAGCCCGTCCCGCTACGAGGACGGGCTTTGGTGTGTTTTGGCCCGTCCCGCCCCGCGAGACCGTTTCGACGGCTCTATCGACAATGGACCATGAAATTACATATATATCCTAAAAAAGCGCAATCAACAAACGGTCAAATAGACAAATGACCAAATTGTGTTAAAATTGCAAAGTTAAGGACTTAATTCGTTGAAATTAAAAGTCGAGAACCAATTTGTGAATTTAGCTATAGTCGAAGGACCATTTTGGGTATTTACTCTTATAATAATATAATTTATTATTTATTATCATATAAAAATTTAAAACTCAACAACATAAAAGATATTATTACAATAGCAACAAAATAATATTTTCATAGTAAGAGAATGACAAAGTAAGCAAATAACAAAGGGAATCTCACATTACCCAAGGAAGATGGGGGAATCACATTTCCTCAAAAATCTGATGTGGAGGCTATCTTTGATTCTATGGGAATGTTACATAACTCCAACTAAACATAGGAATGTTACATAACTAAACAAATATAACCTTTGATAAAAATTATAACTCACTTCCTTTTATTATTTAATTATTTAATTATTAAAAGGGAAAATTATAATTTATGCCCCTCCATAATATGCCGTCAAAACGTGCAAAGCAAGTAAAACGTAACGAACTTAACATTTCCGCTGCACTAAAACACCGAAAGGTTGATTTTTAGCAAAACATGAAAAGAGTCTATTCACCCCCCTCCCCTCTAGACTCTCGCTATAACTCTACTGGGACCAACAACGCACATAGCACTGTGCGCCTCGCGCCTCACAAAACGACGTCATTTTGGGAGGCGCAGTAGGGTGTTGACGTGATTACGTGTATTTGTTTATACAATTATGTGTATTTGTTTATACAATTATGTGTATTTGTTTATATAATTATGTGTATTTGTTTATACAATTATGTGTATTCTAGTATAAAATTATGTACATTTTTTAACATGAGATTTTTTTAAAGAAAAATTAACCGCCAAACACTCGGTAGTGAAATTTCAAAAAAAAAAAAAAAAAAAATCTGAAACAATGTCGTTTTGCATCAGGACGCACAATGCAACGCGCGCCCTGGTGCACAATATAAATTGCCATAATGATTGGTGTTAGGGAAAACTTTTGTTTGGTTGGCTGGGTCTGATTTTCTCGCTTCATTCACTTAGTTGAGATATTTTTGGGAACTTTAGGCATAAAATATAGTATGAAATTTTGGTTCATTGATTTTTTTTTTTTTTTTTTCATTCTTCACTTTAAATCAATCAAACTTACACAAATTAAATGTTTGAAATATTTTTTTTTTACATTTAGAATTAATTTTGACATCTCTAATATAGAGTTTCATCATACTTGTATAACTGAATTACAAGGCTCTTGAAAAATAAATGAAATATTTTCATATGTAAAAAGTGCAATATCCACAAAAAAAAAAAAAAAAAAAAACTATATAATCACAACTCAAAAGTACAATTCGCCAACCCAACAACTCGAGAAAATTGATACGCAACTTTAATTTGTAAACAAGGAGAATCGCCTCTCGTATGTGTGCAACATCAACATGCATGTTCCAAAATTGGATTAGTTTTATAGTAGTCATCAACTTCAGCTCCTCAGCTCTTCCTTGTATTTGATGATTCAACTTGAGATATATATTTTTCCAAAATATCCTCTTGGAAGCAGAACATATATAAGGAAAGAAAATCAAATTATATTGGATCAAATATATAACATAAAATTCAAGATTTCGATTGATAATCAAAGGCTATAATATAATCTTCTTCATATATACAAATTAAAATTTGTTTAAATAGAAGATTACATGCATACAGAAATTAGGTAGGGGACAGTACTAGCTACAAAGTAATAAAAACATATATGCAATGAGAAAGGGCAGATAACATGCATAAAGATCATCGAGGATGCAAATATTAAGAATATATATATATATATATATATATATATATATATATATATATATATATATATATATATATATATATATATATAGAGGCGGGTTCAGGTGCGGCAATGTCTTACGGTGCGGTTATTTCTTACGGTGCGGCAACACCAATAGTTCACCAAATATGCACCATCAACGTTAGGAAATACACCACACAAAACAGAGTAAACAGAGCTCTTAATCACCAAACACACACCATTAGGTGTGAGTAAAAACACCATACACTGTTCGGAAATACACCATTGGGGGTGGTGAGTTATATGGTGTGTTTTTTTGAGTTTGTGGTGTATTTTGTGATGTTTTATTACATTTCATTGGGGTGTGTTTTTATTATACTGTTGGTGCATATTGTTAACACTGTTGGTGTATTTTGGAATTTGACCGCACCGCCGCACCGTAAGACCCCGCGCATATGAGCGCTCTTCTATATATATATATATATATATATATATATATATATGGACGGAGCCAGAATTTTCTTTGGTGGGGGCGAAGAAGCAAACATAAAGCATTTTGTAGTCTATTTCAATTTTCAAGTAAACTGAACATAGAGCATTTTTCAAGTTTTGCAAGATATTTCAAGGATACAATGCATATGTAGTCTATAGAGCACTCAAGCAATTCAATTCAATATATAAAAAGGGGAAAATGACACTTTTTTCCCTTGAGTTATGTACTTATAACATTTTTCCCTTGAATTATTAATGTAAGCACATTAATCTCTCAATTATTCTAAAAGTGACGGTTTTCCTCCCTGATATGTTAAATTGACATTTCTACCCTTAAAGTAAACATTTTATTTATTTTTCTTCTCCAATAAATTATTGTGTATACGTAGGGATGACCACGGTCGGTTCGAACTAAAACGAACACTATAGCAATCGAATTAAAAGTTTCCGATTATGATTCAGATCCAGAATCCAATATTTGGATTTCAGCTTATTAAAATTATGAATCGAAAAAAACTGGATCCAGAACCGTGAACTCGCGGTTCCAGATCCGGTTCGCGATTTTGAATTGTCTTTATTTTAAAATTTTATTTTTTATTTTAAAATAATCTAAATTCAACAGTAAATGTATTTTATTTTTTTTCAGTTTGGAACATGAATTGGCCGTTCTGGTTTGCGATTTTAATAAACTCTAAATATCGGGTTTTGATTCTAAATTATAATTTGAATATTTCGATTTGGTTGTTATAGTGTCTGTTTGGTTTGAACCAAATTGTGGTCATAATTTGTTGAAAAAAAAAATAAATGAAATGTTTATTTTAAGGGTAAATATGTCCATTTAACATTTCAGGAAAAAAACAACCACTTAAATAATTCGGGGGGGAACAAAATGCTATAAGTGTATAAACCAAGGAGAAAGAGTGTTATTTTCCCTATAAAAAACAATAATATATAAATATTGAGAATAATTAGGCAAGCTATTGAGAATAATATATAAAAACCAATAACATATAAAAATCAATTTCATGAACAACAGAACAAGTAATTCCTCTTACGGCCTTACCTCTAGATCTTCAAACTTCAATACTTGAGACAGTGAGACTAGCAGCTTCAATTCCCAATATTTTGAATATGTATTCAATTAAGCGATTAGCATATACAAATCTACAAAAGCATTAAGTATATATGTAATCACTAATTGGGATTACTAAATTAATTGTAAAAGTGCAAAACAGAATAGCCATTAGCCCATTAGGGCAAACTGCAAATTAATTAAGAGAATAGAATAATTATGCTATTAGGGATTTATCAAATATGAAATATCAATCATCATTTTTATGAAATTAACCATTAGGGAAAACTAATTAATAGAATAAATTGAAGAATAATGAAGAGTGGTTGAGATTTGAACCTGAGGGTTGAAGCTATAAATCTATAATGGACTAATGGTGGTCCGGTGGGCGATTAGGCGGTGGACGAACTGAGGAGTCGAGGCAGAGAGCTAGAGACGAACCCGTAAGGTGTGAAGCCGACTAGTGAGGAAGAACCGAAGAAACAACAAATGAAAAAAAAAAAAAAAAAAAAAAAAAACTTATGTATATATAGTTGGCAACCAAATTTTGTCATTCAATTCTAGCATGAGTAGCATCCATACCTTAGCTTGTCCCTAATAAGGAATATATTTTCTCCATTGATTTTGATCTATACGAAAAAGAGAATGCAAAATGAGATGAGATCAGAGGGAGAAAATAAATGTATATAACTAATATAAGAATGAAATGAGATGAGAATTGAAGGAAGGAGAAATAGCAGCAGAAAAATGAGATGATTTTGTAACCATTGAATAGAAAAATAAATGGAAATGTAAGAATGAATAATGAATAACCTCCAAAATATTGTTTCCAGCATCGCGTTGAGATTCTATAATACACCTGGCAGAAGTGATGATGGAAGGACAACACTGCTCCAACTCAATTGACTCCAAGGTATGAATATCTTCCATAACCACTGGAAGTTTTTCCAAACAACAACAAAATCTTAAGACTAAGTGCTTAAGACGTGGGAAGGATCCATCACCGACCATCCATTGCTCGAGCATTTTATTTTCAAGAAGCAAGAATTTTAATTGACAAAATCCTCCTTTTTCTACTTCCCATACTTTTCCATCAAAGGTGGCATTTACCAATTTGAGAACCTCAAGCTGAGGCAACATGCCAATTACCGTTAAATCCCTCTCCGAAAGATTAATACCATTCAACCTCAACTTCTTTAGTTTTGAAGGAAACAAAGATGGTTTTGGAAGGGTTAGAACATGGTTAAACAAAACTGAAATTGTTAGCCTCTCAAGTCCTTCCAAACATTCAAGATTATCCAAAATAATAGGATGGTTGCTGCCAAATACAAAGACTTCCAAATTTTTAATGTTTGGAAACCTGCAATATACTCCTGTTCTGCAATGAGTTGGACACACCCAAGATAATGTTTGCATATTATCTTTATCCATGCTTGGAGGATCAATCACATAAGATTTGTCAAGTTCAAGATGTTGTAACTGCGGTGACTCCCAAATTGTTGAAGGCAAATGGATAGTAGGTGTTCCAAGTTGGGATTCTTTACTCGAAACAACAAGTGTCTGCAAGTTTTGATTGGTTGACACTATATAATCAAGACCCTCAAACCATTCTGTAACAGATAGGTATCTCAAAAAAACTAAATCATGTAAGCGTGTTGGCACTCTTTGAAGAAATGAAGATGAAACAAAAGCCAAAACTCTTAGCAACTTGAAAGATACATATATTTCAGCATCTTCTTGAAAGAAGAAAATGGAGCGAGGGTTGTTTGTTCTTAACAACACATAATAGTCAAATTTATGTGTGTAGAAGCTTAACCAACGACATGAATTTGCAAACATGCTAAATGACCCTCGTGGAAGTTGCAGAGTATTTAAAGCACAAAATATGCCCTCTTTCTGAGCTTCTCTTACACAAAAGCTATGCAAGGCACTATGCATCCTACAATTCTTAACTTTCCCAGAAGAACTCCAATTGTCAATTAGAATAAGAGTTCTATCAATGAATTCTTGTAAATACTCATAAGCTTGACTTTCTAACTCCTTGCCCTCCAATGGATTAATAAATCCTTCAACAATCCATAACCTAAGAAGTAATTTCACTTTGATTGCACTGCGTTTTGGGAAGACTCCAAAATATAGAAAACAAACTTTCAAGTGTTGTGGCAATTGATTGTAAGTGTGGATCAGTGCCCTCCTATCTAGAACTCCAAGCAACTCTATTTCTTTTTGAACCTTCTTCCATTCCTTTCTTATGTTGTCACACATAGATAGACGTTTTGAAACTACAACAATTGAGTATGGCAATCCTTCGCATGTCTCTACAACTTGGCTCCTAATTTCTAAAAATTCAGGTGGTGCCCTAATTTTTTGATGTTCCGGAAAAGGGTTGTCACCAAATAAAGCCCAACTAAATAAATTCCAACTTTCTTTTGGATTTAGCAAAGTCATGTTATGAACATAGCCATCGTTGTAATGAGAACTATCCCTCCTGAAATGCATAGTAGTTATCACTATGCGACTTCCATTATTATCGTCAGGAAAACATCCACTTATATCATACCAAGCTCGATTGTTCCATAAGTTATCCAAAACAATTAGATATCTCTTACCTTTCAAACATTTGTATACCTGCTCAGCTGCTAGATCATCATCATCAGGAATGCTTCCTTTTTCAATTTCATTATCTTCTGCCTCTGCTAGTACTGTCCAAAGAAGGGTGTATAGCAGTTGGCTCACGTTATTGTATCCCCCAGCCACAGGCATAGAAACCCATCTTCGTACATCGAAATGTGATTCAACATCTGGATCTTGATAGACACTACTAATTAAAGTTGTTTTCCCAATGCCGGCCATCCCAACAATTGAGACCACTTCTAGTTTCTCAGAGCCCCAGATGAGTTTGTTCATTATCAGCACATGATCACGGAGACGACCGACCATAACGACATTGCTGGGCTCCGAAGCCGAAGCATGTTTTAACCAAGGAATCATCAGTGCTCCTTCACTTTCATTCACCACTTTTTCATCATCAGTTTCCTTGCTTTTCTCCAGCAACTCCGCTGCGTTTTCTGCTGCTTCTCGCAAGGTTTGATGGAGTTTCTGTGCAGCTTTTTGTTGATCCTCTCCGTTCTTGGCCAGAAGAAAGTTGCTTAGTTGTATTTCGATGCAGTCTTCGGTATCAAGTGCAAAGTCTCTGATCTTCATCTCCAAATCTCTGATTGCAGTGCCACCCCTTGCCCCAGATTTCTCCTGCACAAAAGCTTGCAAAGATGAAAGCTTTTCATACAAAGATTCCATCCCTTCATCATCAAGAGGAACCCTGCTTGGATTATTTGGTTGCAGAAACTGTAGCTTAATTGTTGCCATCAGAGAAGTCAAAGCAACACAAGCCATCTCGATAGATCAGATCTCTCTTAGCTTTCAATTCAAAGTATATATTCAGATAACAAGTTTTTCTCTCTCTCTTTCAAATTATTCAGATCTGCTTGTTTAGTTTTGTCAATGAATATTGAGTGGGTGTGGCCACAACCCTCCAAACATTAATTGCATAAAAGATGAAGCTAGGTGGTCTGATCTGCTTGTTAAAAAATTGTTTTAATTTCTCTCTCATCTGTAAAACTTTGTCTCCACCAATGGTGCAAATTGATGTATTATTAATATATAAATAATGATGCCAACAACTTTTAAATTAACATATATATATATATATATATATATATATATATATATATATATATAATCACTGTCAAGGCCACCAATATCAATGTCCACCACATTGCATAATATTAAGTAATCAGTATTGCCCACCTAACAGTTTAGTTGGTCACAGAGATAAAGGTTGTGAAGAATAATAGTATGGACTCCTTATGTATATGTACCGTAAGTAAAAGTCTATCCCTCTATGTTTAGCTGAATTAGCATGGAGTATTGAGTGGGTGTGGCCACAACCCTCCAAACATTGCATAAAAAGATGAAGGTGGTCGAGTCTGATCTGCTTGTTAAAAAAATATTTTAATTTCTCTCTCATCTGTAAAACTTTGTCTCCACCAATATAATGCTGCACATTCAAGTATTAATAAATCAATAATGCCAACAACTTTTAAATTAACAAATATATATAATTACTGTCCAGGCCAGTGAGGCCACCAATATCAATGTCCACCACCTAGCTTGCATAATATTAATCACGCCGGACTGTTAGAAAAAACAATGCTGGAAATTATGAAATTTTCGACTACCTAAAATTGATCTTAAATTAAGTCAAAAGTAAAAAGTGGTCGGAAATAGTAACAAAGGTTTTTCCGGATACCAAAAGTGGTCGGAACAAAACTTTTGACTTAATTTAAGATAACTTTCAGGTGGTCAAAAATTCCATAATTTCCAGCAGTGATAAAGTCTATTAATATTATCGACCACCAACAAACGATTGTTGATAATTTTGAACGGTTAGATTAATTATCAAATGATTATCTAATTGAGTTGAACGGTTAGATTAATTATCAAATGATTATCTAATTGAGTCACTGTTAGAATGAAGGACTAAATAGAGAAAAATTACTATAGTCAATGACAGAATTGAGTAAACCTGTTGTTAGTTGAGGACTAAACTCTGTATTAATAAAGAAAAATTATCAAACTATCTATCTTATCATAGGACTTAATTAAACAAAATCATCAAAGTCAATGACCCAATTCCCAAGATCAGACTAAGAACTTATAGCCAATAACCCATCAACCATTGCATAATTATACCCCAGGCCTAGTCCTGGACTCCTGGACAAGGATACATGCCTTTTACATTAAGTTTTTTCAACTCCCTACTCTTTAGTAGATGAATTTAAGGATATTATTATTATATATATAGTATTAAAATTGTAACTTATATAATTTATTTATATTTTTAATTTGTATTTTTTAATTTCATATATATGATATCAATATAGAAGATGGATTATTTATTATATATTTTTTATTTGAATTATGTTATCTAATTAATTATATTTTTCATGTGTATGTATAATTATTATTATTATGTATACTAGTAGGTGCACCCGCGCGATGCGCGGCTATATATATATTATGATATATATACAGTATAATATAATTAGATGAACCAATATATAGTTTGAATGCCTAATAGTATGATATATATACAGTATAGAATATAGTTATTATCTGAATACAGTGTGAAATGAAAAGTTGTGATTTTATTAGACATTGATGAAAATAGTAATTTTATTATACATTAAGGGACTCTACGTATATAGTACATAACAGTATGAGGTATAATATAATAAGAATAAGAAACATAATAAGAAACGTATTATTGAAAGAAATTGTTAATTGTTATTATACATTATTGAAAACTTCTTTGTACACAACATTTTTAGTCGTACTAAGACATGGTACACTTTCACCGCAAATCAAAATTTTCAAACCCCTGGGGTTACTAACTCTTGAAACAGCTACGTATAGTTGTCCATGGTTAAAGACCGGTTTTTTCAACAACAACCCAACTTTAGCAAGCGTTTGTCCTTGACTTTTGTTGATTGTCATAGCATAGGATAGCATCAAGGGAAATTGCTTTCGTTGAAATTTGAAAGGCAATCTGGTATCTGACGGTGTAAGAGACATTCTAGGAATCAATACTCTAGTTCCTGCATTTGTACCGCACATGATTTGGCCTTCCAACACATGGTCACCCAACCTTGTAACAATCAACCTTGTACCGTTGCATAATCCTAATGTGTGATCAATATTTCGCAACAGCATAACAGGTGATCCAACTTTCAATGTCAAAGCATGATTTGGTACTCCAGAACATCTCAAGGCATTCAAGAATTCCGGAGTGTGCAAATCCGCTAACATGTCCACATTGGCATCTGACTTACACACAGAATCACAACTCAGGTATGTCTTACCCTCAGAAGGATTATGGTCATTCATGTATTGGTTAACGGCATCCACCACATCCAATGTTGGAGCTAAAATTGCACTATGATTAAGATATGACAAATCGGCAATTCCCATTCGGAAATTGGGGAAAGTGCTATCAACGATTGTAGCAATAGGGTCATCTTCACACTTTAACAACAAATCTTCTGGAATAGTAATCTCTGAGTCCCCCTCAAGTTGACACCCAATAATTCCGTCACCTATATTAGCTATCCATTTTGCAAATTCCTCAATCTCCTTGCACTCGGATTCAGATTCAACAGTTTTCAAGCGTAGATTCTTAGTTAGCCTCAGGACTTTACAGGATTGCCATAGATAGGATGAGCTAATGCTCGCTCGAACTATATCCGGTCTAGTACCCTTTGGAATTACTGGTAGAATTTGCCTGAAATCGCCACCCAGAACAACTGTCTTACCACCGAATGTCATATCAGAACTCCTTGGATTTACCAACCGCATCAAATCCCGCAAAGTTCGATCCAATGCTTCAAAGCAGAATTTATGCATCATTGGGGCTTCGTCCCATATTATCATCTTTGTTTGCACAAGAAGTTCCGCCAGTTCACTGCCGTTCCGTATGTTGCATGTGGAATCTTCATTAACAGATATCGGTATAGCAAACCGGGAATGTGCCGTACGGCCACCAGGTAATAACAGCGAAGCTATGCCGCTAGAAGCAACATTTAAAACTATTTGACTCTTAGACCTTAATGCGGAAGAAAGTGCTCGCCACAAGAAAGTCTTACATGTCCCTCCATAACCAGAAACGAAGAATAACCCACCTTCCTGGCGATCCACGTCAGTTAAAACTTCATTGTATATTGCATTTTGTTCGTCTGTTAACTGCCTTACCAATTCTTGGTTCTCTTTCTCCTGTTCGCCACGATCGTATGCTAATTCTTCTTGAATCAACCTATTTTCAATAATATGTAACGCACCAAAATTGGCCGTTGGCATCTCAGGATAGTCCTTCAAACTCTTACCATGATTAGATAATAAGTTCTCAATCTGAACTAAAGCAAAGTTCATTTTGTGGGAATCGGTCAACACAAAATCTGCATAAATATATATAAAAATTTGTTGTTATAACCAAAATACTTTAAACTTGACTTAATAGTCTTAAAAAAAATGTACGATTACCTCTGTTCTGCAGTTGTGAACGGATTTTGTATTGGGCATCGTCTGATAGATGTTGCCAAACGGCATGCCAAACTATTTCCGGTTTCCCCATGCAACTGCTCATTAGTAATGTCACGAACAATCTCCTCAATTGATCTGCTGACGCCCAACTACTGGCTTCATCTATTGCATCAACATATTCGTTGTCATCATCAACTAAACCCCTTGCATAACACGCATCTCTAAATGAGTCATATTGGACTCCATTTACAGTCCTAATATCTTCGTAACTTTTAGGGCCGCGTACTTTGTTCAACAAACACCTCAAATAGAAGATTTCACCAGTAGCTGGAGGGACATAGAATATACGTCCTATGGAGAACCCTTTCTTTCGTGGCTGCCATTTTCTAAGGTCTTTCTTCCAAACGAATCTTGTTGGCATCTCAACATAAGTAAGCTCTCTGGCATTGGGGTATGTTTTATTAGCTTCGAACCATTCTAAGAACATGCTCTGTGCTATCGTAGGTCTATTCACAATGTTCTCAACTGCATCATCATCTGCAAATATCACACTCTGTTGATTAGGAAGGTGAAAGCTTAACCTCTCTACCGAAGGCGCACGAAGTTGTATATCAAACCCAAACAGACGCCAGACCGCTTCACACGGGGATATGTACCTACAGTCATAGTACATATTTATCTCATCTACTGCTTTGCCATTCTCGTCATCATTGCCTGTTTTGTAAAATTCGGCTGTTACTCGATCATGACCCTTGTTAACATACTTGAACAGGTACTTTATTGACCTTGATTGGTTGCACCACTCGACATTTATATGAGCCTTGTACTTGAGCAATAAATATCTATTGTGCGGTACCACATACCTGTTGTCCAAGGCGATCCCGTTCTTTGTAACTACACTGCCATTGTCTCTCCTTCTATATACCGGGTAACCATCGTCATCAAACGTAGAACTATCAACAAATCTCTTAGGAAAATGTTTAGAGCATCGTGCATTTACCATGCATGGAGAATTTGTCCTGGCTTTTCCACATGGACCATGCATCATAAATTCCTCTACCGCCTGGTAATACTCAGCATCATTCTTTTCATCGGGAATCTCTGCTGAAATTATGTTGTCTAGAGTGAGAACTTGCCTAACTTCTTTACTTTTCTCCAGAAAAAGCAATATATGAGCATGCGGAAGACCTCGCTTTTGAAACTCAATTGTATATATGACTGTAACAACATACAAATAAACATAATAAGGTTAAGCAATTACATAAAATTTATTTAGATTAATTGATTTAAAATACAATAACAAAATATTACCTCCGGCAACAGGGCCAAATAGTTGATTCTTTCGACAATCAGCTATCAAAGCATCCAACTTAATCTTAAATAAGCGGCAAATTATGTCCGGCCGGTCTTCTGGCTTCAACCTTTGATCTTTTAAAAACCGTTGCACCTCAGGCCACTTCGGATTGCATGTAAAGGTTATAAATAAATCTGGGTATCCAATCCATCTACATATTGTCATTGCATCTTGGTAGTTTTGTATCATATATCTAGCACCACCCGTAAAACTCGAAGGTAGTATTATTCTACGACCTTGGGCTGCAGGGCTTAAATCACCCCTCGTCAAAGCATCAGTCAGTCCACTGTAACTCTCACACCTTAGGCTTTTTTGGTGTGTCCTTATATAAATTAGTCTTCCAGACTCAACCATTGTGTAGCCATCTACAACGAATTGTTGGAACAACCGCTTTGCAAATAATATGGTACTTGGAGCTGACTGTCTAGATTGTATGCGGTAGCAAAAAAACTCCCTGGGGCTAATCCTTTGTCTACCACCAGAAGAGCGCCTGCCGACTACGTCGGCGAATGCAATGTCCTCCCGATAACCATCTTCGCCATATGGAAACAGAATAGGGTATTGCAGTGGTAAGTATGAAGGATTTAATTCAGTAATCCTCTGTAGTTGGCCACCCTTCGATTGAACAATAATATCACGCTCTTCAATACTGGTATCCAGATCGCCAACGATTAAAGCTGCTACTTCAGACACTTGAGGCAGATTATATGTCCTAGCATCTCTAGTTCGTTTTCCCAACAACTTTATTTTTACTTTGGCGCATGGATTAATATCCAACTCAGACATAGCCATGCGAAAAGACTTAACCAAGACATTATTTTCATCCAGGTCTTTCTGAATGACATTCACTATTTCTACATGAATGTCATCTTGGTCACCAATACCCCTACAACAACATATACTTGGAATTGATATTTATTTAGATAAAAAATAGTATTCAAATGTGTAATTACGGAAACTTCTTTACCTCACAGCATTTATACGGTTGTTCCTTTCATTTGCCGTGTCGTATATGTATAACTGGGCAAAATGAGGTTCTTTGCCTTGTTCTGGAAGTAAAGTGCCCATTAGGTGGTAGTTTTGACCACTTAATCGAAAAATTGGAGGTGCTCCACCCTTGTTCACGTTCTTGTCAATTTTTCCACCCATGGATGTGAAGCAGAACATGTTGTTGTAGGTCCTAATGTTGTGTAAAAATTCTTTTGATAATTCGTCATTGCCGAAAAAGAGATCAAATATACCTTTTGGTGGCAACTTATTATCCGGCAATTTGATCTTCCCATTGTTGCAACACAACATAAACAGTGGCGATGCTTTTGTTGACAAATTTTTCTTCCTTTCTTCAAACCAAAACATAGCCCCACAATGTACGCACTGATTTGTTGCATCACCAAAATCGCAGTATTGACCTGAAACCAAATATATACAAATTTAAATACTGATTTATATTTGCTGTATATATAAAACAAACAAACATACATACCATTTTGTGGACCAGATGATGTCCCAATTCCCGAGGTCTGCCTTACAGCGTCACCCGATAAATTTGCATCTGAAATTAAAAAACATTTAAAAATTATTTTTAATATTGAAAGACTGACCATATGTACTTTACTTATATTTGTTTGAAACACCACAGGGTAGTATTTTAGTACCAGCTATGTTCTGATTTGGGACATCGCTCACCGCATTGTTACTTTCATCTTCAAAGGCAGGTAGCAAGTCTCTGGTTGTTACCTGGTCTTCGACAATTGCATATTTATCTAATGGTTTACGAATTGCAAATTCATCTCCTATTTGTGTATTGGATTGCCGTACTGTACACATACATAATATTAGACAAATTTAAAGAATAACAATATTTAAAGTGACAAATAATTGAAACCACTACATTTTATGGTACTGTAAAAAAAATAATTTGGTAGCACGTAGTAACATAAAAAGGATAGAATTCTTAATACTATAAATTAAATACACCTAACATTATAACTTATGGTAACCTAGAATATGAAATAGTAATTTAACTGTATAAGTATTATTATATTTTAGTGGAAAAATCACATGGTAGACCATGGTCCACAATAATATGTTCACCATTAATAGAAATAAAAGAGAAAAAAGTGTATTTCACTAAGTAGAATCTATGGAATTAATTACACATATCAAAACAAATGAAACTATTTTAACAAAAAATTAGAAATTGAGATTCCAAAATAAATCATATATCAGCCAAAAATCCACACATACTTATATGTACCATGAGTTACATTATAATTAAATTCACAATGAGTCTATAGCAATTCAGCTTAGGGCATTTACCGGTAGTGATGTTACTCAATGGTGTGATATATTCAGAGAAACATCCTCGCTGGGGATTTGTGTAAGGATTAGCTGTCGTACGTTGGTCTTGATCTTGAGCAGTATTATTCGTACAAGATGAGCCACCGAAATGATTTGCTGTGATTTAAAATATACCATCAAATTAAGAACTAATTCCAATAATTATAACTCGAAACAATTCAGTACACATAACAAAAAAAAAAAAAATCACTTGCACAACTTTAATACGTAATTGAATATAATTATGTAGACGATGGTCCACATTCTAACTTAAATACAATTCAAGTACGACAAAAACTATATATGATTAAGTACAATGTAATCAATTAATTACATCTAATCAATTAATTACAAATTGATATTAAACATGAATTACATTATAATTATACCATTTAATTTTACAAAAAGCTTCGAACAAATAACAGTATAACGATATTTAAATTAACAATGAATATATAAAAAGGATAGAATTCTTACTATTATAAATTAAATACACGTAACATTATAATTTATGCTAACCTAGAATATGAAATAGTAATGTAATTGTAAAAATATTATTATATTTTAGTGGAAAAATCACATGGTAGACCATGGTCCACAATAATATATGCACTGTAAATAAATAGAAATAAAAGAGAAAAGAGTGTAATTCACTAACTAAAATCTATTTAATTAATTACACATATCAAAACAAATTTAACTATTTCAACAAAAAATTAAAAATTTATTTTTAAAAAATAAATCATATATAAGGCAAAAAATAGTGAGATTACAATTCCACACATGCTTATATGTACAATGAGTTACATTATAATTAAATTCACAATGATTGTATAGCAATTCAACACCGGGCATTTACCGGTAGTGATGTTACTCGATGGTGTGATATATTCAGAGAAACATCCTCGGTGGGGAATTGTGTAAGGATTAGCTGTCGTACGTTGGTCTTGATCTTGAGCAGCATTATTCATAAAAGATGAGTAACCGAAATGATTTGATGTGATTTAAAATATACCATTAACTTAAGAATTAATTCCAATAATTATAACTCGAAACAATTCAATACACATCACAAAAAAAAAAAAATTCAATTGCACAACTTTAATACGTAAACGAATAGAATTATGTACACAATGATCCACATTCTAACTTAAATACAATAGAAATGTAAAACTATATATGATTAAGTACAATGTAATCAATTAATTACACCTAATCAATTAATTACAAATTGATATTAAACATGAATTACATTATAATTATACTATTTAATTTTACAAACAGCTTCGAACAATTAACAGTATAAGGATATTTAAATTAACAATGAATGTATATCAATTCATATATTGGGATTTACCATTACTGATGTTACTGAATGGTGTGATATCCGGAGAGAAACAACATCCCAAAGGATTTTTGGCAGGATGATTTGGCGTATGTTGCTCCTTACCTTGACCAGCATTAGTCATTAATGATGATTTGAAAAAATTATTTGCTGTATGAAAAAAAAATCAATTAAAAGAGGATAAAAACAACAGTAAGTAGAACAGTTAACATTTTTTAAATTAATCACACATAATGCTATTCATTACGCTAGCTTATGATTGTAAATTGTAATTGTTTTAAATAAGACTTACATAATAAGTAGACTTATAAAAAGGTTTTATAAATTCACAACGATGCTATATCAATTGAACTTAGTGGATTTACCGTTAGTCACGTTACTCAAGGGTGTGATGTTTTGAGACAAACACCCTCCAAGAGGAATGCGGGCAGGATTTCTTGTCGGAGACTGTTGTTTTCCTTGATCAGAATTATTCCTTGATGATGAGTTGCCCAATTCATTTTCTGCGAATTAAAATACAACATTAAATTTAATAATAATCCAAATAACTAAAAATCATAAAAATGAATTACACATAATACAACTAACAATACATACTTAATTTCAAATTGTTAAAAATTTACCTAACAATTATTTACAAATTAGTGGTGTGCCACTAAACACACCTTACCGATAATCTAATTGTGAAATATATATAACCTGAAATGGTAATGGCTATATAGTAACACTAATTTTATTTGACAAAATCTTAAGTATAACATTGTCCACAATAAATACCATTACAATTGTTAAGATTATATATCTAATTAATTACACATAACAATTAAAAATTAAATAAATAAATAAATAACTATATACATATCTATATATTTATTTATTAATTTATATCTTTAACCTCTTTAAATATATTATTTTCGGTATATATATAATTTTCCGCATATAATTTATATATATATATATATATATATATATATACAATAATATATCCAATATTAATGTTTTTTCTGTCGGAATTTCGAGAGAAGAGGAAGAAGGGTCTACCCTTCTCCTTCTCTTGAGCTCTCCTTGCTCTCATGTCTGAACAGATCTGTTCTTCACCTCTCCCTACGATCTTACTATCTTTCTCTGTCAAGCCTAAATCTAGATCAGTCCTAAGTCCTAATCTCCGATTCAACTGTTCTTATTGAACATTGTTCCTGGAGAAATTGTAGTCGGGTCTCGCTTAGCATCAATTCCGATTAGCAGTACACAATCCCGATCTTTCCTTTCTGTGAAAGATCTTAGTGTTCAACAACGGTAAATCGTGGCAATCGCGTTTCAGTGAAGGTAATTCTCCAATTCTAAGGTTATTAATTTGTCAATCTACACTAAATTTGTTTAGGTTTCCTACTTTTCGTTGTTGTTTGTTCTAAATTTGATCTATGTTTCTTGATCTATGCATGCATATCAACAATCATAGCTGAATTTTTTTGATTTCAGATTTGTCCTCTTCATAGCCATTAGGGTTCTAAATCGTATTTTTTGTAATGTTGCTCTAAAAACACCAAAGAGAAAGTACTCTTAACTGTTTAACAGTTATTTTCAAAATGGTATAGCTATATTATTATTCACACAAACCCTAACCTGTTTTCGACTTTATCATGTTCTTTTTTAAGAACATACTGGAATTTTTTGAGGAGATAGAGAGCATAAACAGAACCGCAGATGAAGAGGATGCTAGAATGAAGCTTAATTCGAAGTATGAAAAAGATAAGTTTCGAACTTACCTTTATTTTCATCACTTGGTTTCCTTTTGATGCCTAAAATTGTTGATTTAGTGATTTTCCTCATTGCTCTGTCTATTGTGTTTACTTGAAAATGTAGATGTGATTTGTGTCTTTACCTGTGGTCTGAAATTGGAGAACTGTGTTGGTAGTTAGATGGGGCAAAGCTGATAATATGGCTTCATTGTACTTTATTTTACTTTTGCCTGGATTTTGAAAATAGGATTGGAACTGAAGAGTTTTCTCTTAATAGTAATGATAGCTGCCCATCAATTGTATTTAATGTTTAGGAAATGTGTTTCTTTTCCTAAGAATGATTAAGTAATAGTTAACAGGCCAATATTTCCCACTGATCCAATTTCTTTAGCTGATTTGTAAGAACATGGAACACACACCCAATTACTCACTGGTTCTAGAACTATTCATTTTTCTCTTATGGCAGTGGCTGACATTATTCTTCAAATAAAAGTATATTTTCTTTTTTTTAGTTAACACACTAATGTTATTTAATTTACCAATCTTGAATTGTAATGCTGTTATGTAATTTCTTTCTAAATGTGCCTGCCAATTTATTCAATGTATGTGTTGGTATTATTTATTCTGGACAGAAAGTCTAACTTTTTTTTTATTCTTTTTAGAGCAATTGAAGAGCAGCAAGCACAAAATAATCACCACGGCCACATCAGAAAATAAGTTAAGACTATATCTTGATTGGTGTTACATTAGATGAGTTTGCACTGTTATAGTTGCACAGTTTGTAAGACTGTTCTAAGAACATTGAACACATACATTGATTATTTGATTCTACTTATTAAATATTATGAACACATTCTAACCATTTTAATTTTTTTGGGTATTTTTTTTAAGAATGGAATAATCCAAGCTATGGAGACATTGAAGAATGGGTCCCAGAAAAGAACCAAGCAATCAAAGACCACTAAAAGCATTATGGTCATATAAGCAAATAGGTTAACACTTTATCTTTATTTGGCTGTCTTTAGATTAGTTTGTATGCATATACTTGCATAGTTTGTAACTTTGTTCACTTTATGCGAGTGTATGCTTTTCCTCTTATTAAATATCCTGAACACAAATTCTAACAATATTTTTTGTTGTTATTCTTATTAGAATGAAATCATCAAGCTTTGAAGAAATTGAAGAGCAGCTGTCATAAAAAAACCAATCAATCAAAGACCACTAAAAGCAATAGGGTCATACAACGAAATAGGTTAAGACTTCCTCTCTACTTGGCTGTAGTTAGATTAGTTTGTATGGATATACTTGCATACTTTGTAAGTTTGTTCACTTTAATTTGTAAGGCAATATTGTTCCATCACTGGCCTTTAATTTGGGTGCATTGTTTGGTTCTATATAAGTATAGAATTGAGTAATGTTAGCAAAGTAATGCTAATACCTTTTTTTTTCTCTTTGGTCAAAACTGGTATAACTATTCTGTATATATCATAATATTCTTTCACTGTGTTTTATTGCAAGCACTAACTTTATTTTGTAAATATTAGACACATTCAGTAAAATGTCCTTGTTCGGGAAATGGTGCTCGACTATCGACCAAATTCCTTTATTTTATTAATAATTGTATTGTCTTTGACATCTTGTTTTTGATGCATTATTTTAGTCTATATAAGCATATAAGTTTTTTTTTTTGCATGATAAACTCTTTTTTAAAAGCAGATTCTCATTTTTTTTTTGTCAAAACAGTAATATAAAATCCTTTTTTTTTTACTATTTGCTTAAAACTGGTATAATGTTCTTCTATGTATAAGGAGATTATTTAATTTTTTTTTATTGGCAAAAACAAATTTATTTTATTAATAATAGACACCTTGAAAAATGTCTTTGTGTCACAAATGGTCCTCGAGTATTGACAGTGTTAATCAATTTGTATTTCTATTGTATTTGACCTCTGGATTTTTTAAATTATTGGATTTTATATTACTATAAAAGTCAGATTTGTGTAGGATAAAAACATTTTTCCGTTTAAAGGAGAATGTTTGTTTTATCTACATAAAACAGTAATGTAAATTTTTACTATTTGCTTAAAACTGGTATAATGTTCTTCTATGTATAAGGAGATTATTTAATTGTTTTTTATTGCAAAAACAAATTTATTTTATTAATAATAGACACTTGAAAATGTCTTGTGTCACAAATGGTCCTCGAGTATTGACAGTGTTAATCAATTTGTATTTCTATTGTATTTGACCTCTGATTTTTAAAATTATTGGATTTTATATTACTATAAAAGTCAAATTTGTGTAGGATAAAAACATTTTCCGTTTAAAAAGAGAATGTTTGTTTTATATCTACAAAAACAGTAATGTAAATGACTTACAAAATTCTTCTTTTAGTTGCTTTTATCTGATTTCTTTCTAAATGTGCTAGAAAACATTGATGGATTCCAGCTTGAACATCAGTTGTTTGGATAGATGCAAACAGAGTAAAGGAAGATTGTGCAAATAGGTAATTGGAACTAACACCCTTTTTTTACATGACCTAAATGACTGACAAAATTCTTCTTTTTAGTTGCTTTTATCTGATATCTATTTAAATGTGCTAGAACACATTGATGGATTCCAGCTTGAACATCAGTTGTTTGGATAGCTGCAAACAGAGTAAAGGAAGATTGTGCAAATAGGTAATTGCAACTAACACCCTTTTTTTAGAACAGTACATTTACATGTAAAGTCTTAGAATTGCAAACAGAGTCAAGCTGATTGTGCAAATAGGTAATTGAAACAAAATCTATTTTTTACGCACTTTATATTTTAGATATAAAGTCTTAGAATTGGGAATAGGAACATACAAAAAAACACAACTTCAAAGTCTAAATTGCTTGGCAAACTATTTACATCCTGTGGACTACTAAAACCGACTTTGCTTGCCAAACTATTTCAATCCTGTTTGCCTTCTAAAAACTTGGCCACCTAGCATGTTTGCTGCAAAACAGGCACAACATATTTAGATCTAAAGTCTTAGAATTGGAAATAGGAACATATGAAAAACACAACTTCAAACTCTAAATTGCTTGGCGCAGAAGACTATTTCTCATCCGTGCCTGCATGAAAACCTCGGGCCCAAACCCGAGCATCTTTCAGCGCTGCCAACAACAAGGCCAAAATCATATCTTACGATATAAAGAGCTTAGAGTTTGGCCATAGGAACAGCTATGAAACAACACAACTTCATAAACCTCTGAAATGTGGCTTAGCCAAAAGTATATTCCATCCTGCTTTGCCTTTACTTAAAACCCTAAAACCCCTAGCATCTTTGCTGCTCCAACTTTGGACACTTCATCCTTTTTCTTGAATAACCTGAAGCCAAAAATTAGAAAAGAAAAACTCCAAAACAGCAGGTTCGAATAGCAGTACATACACCAATTTATTGTATCTAAAAGTTTAGGAAATTTACTAAAAGCATCTAGATTAAAAGTTTTAAACCATGTCCATAAAACTGAAAAATAAAACTTGTCAACACCACGCAGTGGCGAGTCAGTTGGAAAACCAAAAAAAAAAATGTTGGGATATGTGAATGCCGGCGCTATCAACAATCTCTTTCTCAAAACCATCATCTCAATTACATCTTTTCTTTTTGATTTCCTGATGTCATTCAACGTTCATTCCTACTTTTGGATGATGAAACTCATTCCAAATTGACCTTTTAATTTGCACCAACATTTTTGCATTGTCTTCCTCCTCTCCTTTTTTCGGCGGGCTGGACGAGCGCAGGACTGGTTCACTTCAACACCCAATCGAGAAATCCTTCCCTAATTAACGTAAGAAAAAGGCAGGGACAAACACATTAGTAACCAAAAAAATAAAAAATCTCAAAATTTAGTGTGTAGAAATTCTATACTCCCGAGCAAACGTGGCATCAGTGTGTAGTTTCCTCACCAATCATCCTTGACAATTAACGTCTTGCTCTTCATGCTCCACACACTCTTGTCAGCATACGTCCTTTCAAGCAACGTGTCATCCCTTTACAACCTAACACAATGACATGGGTAATTGGGACCCATTCTTTTGCGGGGGGGCAAGTTTGAAGCTTCGATCTTAAAACAGCATCTTCATACCAACATTATAGCATCAATTCAGGCGGGCACCTTCACATCAGCTGTTTAGATAAGGCTGAACAAATAACCAAGTGGTTAAAAACAGATAATGTAAACCAGTGTTTAGGCCAAAAAATGCAGACATTAGCGTAATAAGAACTTTACTCCTTGTATCTTTAGCCCATACACATAGAGGCAGGAATACCCACAAGCTCTGTAACTTCCCTATCCCAAAGCAACATTGGAGAGATCTCCAACTTTGTCAAGAAGCGCAATAACAACCACTTTGCTACCTAACTGACCCATCATACAATTCTTCTCTACACTTAGTAACAAGAAAAGATGTCCCTTCCTGTCTTTAAGCTTTTATTACATCAAGTTTCAGGCATGATAAGTAGTACAACCATTCCTCAAATCTAACCCGAGAATTCTGCAGCAGAAGCATAATAGTTCCCCATCCTATAGTATTCAAACAAGTTTTATAAGTATATATAACAGTTAATAATTTCCGTCCTCAAACTAAGAAAGATTGTAGCTTAGTATGTTGGATTACCTCTTTCACCTTCTTATGTCATGGCAGTTAGTCACAATAACACGAAGATTATGAAAATCACTAATCGCCTGCTAGAGTTTGGCAATTGCACGTGGCCAGCTACTGAGACTCCGCATTGAGTACCGAGACTTTCGATGCTTCAAAACATTAGAAACTTAGTTAGATGTGTCTAAAACAACAAACAAAAATAGAGTAGACAACATTTAAACTATCTATCTTTTATTTAGATATGCAGTTCAGTGTACTAAATTATTTTGAGTACAATTGTACAGCATGGTATTTAAGATTATATACCACGTATATTTTTTTTTTCTCACTTATTCAGATGATAAAATGAATATATGGATTGTGTTAATTCAGAAGTACAAAGTATAAGCACACATTAAATATAAGATAGCAAGACATTAGCACAGAAAACTAAAAAATAGGAGAAATATAAAAGATGGAACTTACCTTTCGACCTAAACTCTTTAAACTCTTCCCCATCCTCATATAACCACAAGCTTTAGCATCATAGGAACTGGTTATTCTCACTTCACCTAAAAAATGCATAAAATAGAGAAGTGTATTTTTAGATATATATATATGATATATATTATGATATAAAATACAAGTATTTGAACTCTATTAATTAGAAGAGAAACATAGCATATAACAAATCGACCACCCACAACTTTGCCCTACAGCATTGAATGACAACAATCAGTGGTTCTTTAGAATCACTATTGTAAAAAGGCATCAGGGAAGAAACATGCTCATTCCACAGTGTACACATGATGGTGTTATCACTGCATTATAACAGAAAAAACCCAAAACTATTAAAAAAAAAGCATGAATTTATAATGTAATCAAATTTATTTTAATAAACTTACGCATTGTCTTCAGTTGGAAGTCTATTAGTTTGGTAGCCTTTCCCCCCACAATCTTGTCAACAGGATTAAATCTCAGTTACCCTTCCAATAACATCTGCAAAACGAACAAAATATTAGCAATATTATATTAAAAGTATAATAAAGAAGATATTAGCAGTTTGGAAATGTAAATTTAGTACCAATCAGCTCCTTCATTCACATCTCCAGGATCTTTCAAAGCCACAAACTCTTTAATCTAAACATTTTGCAAGGAAAGCCAGTAGAATGTATTTCCTTGACTTGTGTTCTGTAGTTAAATTTCAGCAGGAAACCATGCTCTGTAATCTTGTACGTAGTAGTTTGTAGAGGCCATGAAGTTCTTTATTTCATAAATTTTCCCTTCTTGATTATTCTTTATACTTGACAATGTCTTTCTTGATGATACTCGCATGAATGTAGTCTCCCTGCGAATACAATAGTAAACAAAATGTACACAGCAAAACAGTTATAGAAGCTTAATTGAAAGAACATTATATGAGAAGATTATAGATAGGAAAACACAGTAAGATTATTAGATAAAATGGCAGCAGTTAGTAGACAAAATCATATGTGAAAATAGCTAAAATTACCTCTTCATCATGGAACACAACTTCCATGCTCTTACTAACCTGACCTTCTCCCCTTTTTTCAGGAACTTCAACACACGATTGCTCTCACTCGTATTGCCCTTTGCTGGTGTTCCGGCTTGATGTTTCTCACGGCAAGGAACATGGAAGGCATGTTGAAACAGCAAAGATTGGTTTCGAAAAGGCTGTAAACTGTGATAACTTTCTGAAGTGTACTGCCATGAAGAAGGCCGGTATTTATACATACTGAAGATTCAAAAATAAGGAGATACCGCATTCTAAGTTTGGGAAATCGCACATCTCAATTAATGTAAATTTGAATATTCAACTCTGCATATTCTATGTATCTATGTATGTATGTAATGTATGTAATCTCTATTTAATTGTTTCTTGTATGCCGTAGCAGTTCATTAGGATTTGTAGATATTAATAGTAGTGATCTTGGTTACAATACCAAAGAGTTCTACATTAATTGAACTCCTTGGGAACCAAGGACTGTGTAATAATAAGAACGGCTAGGTATATTCCCAATACGAATTTTCATTACACGCGCACAGTAAAAAAGGAATTAATTCCAGATTGTTAGCTATACCAAAACTGCGTCGTTTTCATTGGGCGGGAACTAATGATTGGCAAAACTTCTTGCTTTATTATAGAGTTAGATATTAGAAATCATATGAAAACTAATAGAGAATATATCTTGGGCTACGAACCCTTTTACACTAAAGAGTTGGTCGGATACGAATCACAGAGAGGCAATTGACAATTCTTGACCTGATCTGAGTTTAGCTCATGACTGACTCGACCTGGATGCTAGGCCTCTCGTTGGCTTCATGGGCCTTTGACTTATTCTTCTAAGCTCAGTCCCGACCTGAGTAATTGGGTCGGGATCCCGAGCACATATACTTAGCATTCAAGTCGATCCCAGTAAGGGATTGGTCAATCAGATACATTCTTATACGTATGTGCACGTATTTCTTTAGCTACCGAGATCACCGGGTGTATAGAGGATACATGGCGACATGTCGACTATTCGCATGTGTCCCCTCGAACTCCCTATAAGTAATTACTCAAGAGATGGAGTGGTCTGGTGGGTTGGAACACGCATACCAAGCTTGAGGGTGCGTGTTTGATCTTCACACAAGCTGCACAATGGTTGTTAGATTTTCTTTCATTGTTTGGGCTGATTAAGGGACAGCCAAACATTTTGTTTAATCCCCTAATCCTCTACTTTTGGCAGCTTCCACGCGTCCTCACTAATTACATAAAATAAGGAATAAGTGGGGGAGTAGAACAAAAACTTCCTCACTAATTACATAAAATAAAGAATAAATGGGGGAGTAGTTGTTGACTTGTTGGATGGTTATGAAGACTTTTAGGGGGCGTTTGGTTCAGTTATATAACATAATCAAGGGAATGTGAGTTACTCACATTCCGGTATTTGGTTTATATTATTTTAGGGAATCTAACATTCTCAAGGAATGTCACATTCCCTCCATATAAGATTTTGAAGGGAATGTGATTCCCTTCAAAATATTAGGTAATGTAAGATAACCTTGGTTATGTTAGTTTAGTATATATATATATATATATATATATATATATATATATATATATATATATATAATTATTTTTGTAACTATTTTTTTTTTATTTTTATTATGCTATGTTAGCATATAAAATAATTTTGTTTCTCAAGTTCAAGATTTTAATTAATATTTTAAAATCGTGTAATTATATATGATACTGTTATCTTATTTATTTATTTTAATTTTTAAATTTATTAAAATATATGAAAATATGTTAAGGATATTATAGTGTGTATAAAAGATAACCCTAAACTAAACATCATTATATTACATACCCCAATTTTAACCAAACACAGGAATCTAACATTCTCAGTAATCTAACATTCCCAACAATCTAACATTCCCTAAGGTAATCTGACATTCCGTGAACCAAACGACCCCTTAAGTCTTCAAATGGAAGGAGGGAAACGAAAGAAATTAAAGTGGGAGATGGTGCGATTTTCTATATCGTGGACCGTGGATCATGGTATGAAAATAGCGTTGTTTCTTTAAGTAAAGAAACAATTTGTTAAATTTTAACAAATCTCATATTTTTGATGTGTTTATAATAAAATGAAACTATAATGTATCTAAAATGAAACTAAATAACTTGTCTAACATATTGTGTTATTTATATTATCAAATAAACTATAATTGAATTGAAATGATATCGTAGTTGTGTTAAAATGAAACAAAAATATATATAAAATGAAACTAAATAACATGTCTCACAAATTAAGTGTATATTGTCAAATACAGTTGTAGTTGAATTGAAATGATACATTAGTTTTGTTGAAATGAAACTACAGTATGTATAAAAAGAAACTGAATAATGTCTTACATATTGAGTGTATATTGTCAAATGAAAATCTAGTTATATTAAAATGATACTTTAGTTGTGTTATAATGAAACTACAATGTATATAAAATGAAACTATTTAGTGGTGTTGTAATAAGACTATAATGTGTATAAATGAAATTTAATAACATGTCTCGCTGTAATAAGACTATTGTATGTATAATGTGTTGGTGATAATGAACCAAAGTCGATTTAATATCACAAAATAAGATTTATCGTCTATACACACGAAAGTATATAAAATATTATTCAATATATATCCGAAATATATATATATATATACACATACTAATATACACATAAATCGGACCCCAAAGGTTATATATATATATATATATATACACACACACACGAAAAATATATATATCAACCAACTGGAATTTATAATCCTCGATTATTATTCCAACTAAAGGAAAAGTGTAGTACAAGGATTTTTGCTTAAAAGCATAATCCCAAAATCGGAGTAGAGAGAAGATGAAGAAGAGTGGAAAGTACGAGTTGAGCGAAAGCTCTCTTCTTTAAAACCTTATTTGCCACCTCCCAAAAGTTCCAGGAGCGTTGTTGCTTAGGCTTCCCAGGATAAAATGTACTACGATTCAACGTTTGAGCACCCCAACGAATGAATCCGACGAACTAGAGCACGGACAGAACACAACAGCAAGAACGGAGTAGGAGCAGAGTTTTGAGAGAAGAAAACTAACTTCTTGTTGCGTGTGTTGTGTTTCTACTTCACTTCTAACTTGTAAATCTGCTGCTCCAACAACAAACTTATATAGGAGATTGAGGTGTAAATAACATTGAGTAAAAGACATTTTTGGTCCTAGACTTATAGTGGCTTGGACAATTTTAGTCCTTTATAAAAAAAATTTTCCATTTTATGGACAGAGTTATTGTGGCGAGGACATTTTTGGTCCTCCGTCTATTGAGATTAAATCTAATTTAAAATCAGATTATAACCTTCAAAGCCGACCAACAGTTGAATTAATCCTCCAAATAGTTAGTTGCCGCGCGTACTGCTGTTTTCGGTAGACGTGAACCACGCGTAATATTCCAGAAGACCAGAACGTACCGCGCTTTCATATGCATCGTGCACCGAACCGTTGGAAAAAAGGATCCAGAAAGTTACTTGCACACGAGCTCAGGCTCTTGGATCAAGCCTTTTCAATTGCACCACCCCTACACACGAAAAAAAGCCTCTATGCTATACAATTCAATAAGCTTTAAAAGAGCTCTTGTATAAATAGTGGGGCAAATCCTCTTCCCAAACCAATGTGGGACAAAACTTCTTCCCAAGCTTTTCCCTTCATTTTTCCAACTCAAATGGGTCTACTTTGAGAATCAATATCTCATTCACCTATTATCCGTTTTGATCGTACGATATATCACTCTCTTTGTCTCACTACAAAGAACCCGAATCCACTTTGACCCGACCCATTTCGGAAGTGGACCCCACTGATAATTGTACAACAAAATAGCTACTTAAAATTCCATTTTAATGCTATTTTTCCCAACAATCCCCCACATGAATGAAAATTGATTTTCAGGGTATTTTGAAATCGGAAACAACTGTGTTCAACGGTCGATCTCTGCATAAGATAGGTAGGGATCACTATACCCTTTGAACCTTCCCTTGTGAAGACATGTTTGCTCTATTGGCTGTACGGTAGAACACGATGTCTTTGAACCGACTGCCGTTTGTGTAGACGATGACATATCTCACACAGGAACCTCCCAACCGTGCTCTGTTCTCATGAGTGTGCCCGTTTTGGTCGTGGGTCATCTTCCTGGTTCTGCAAGAGTTTCTAAAGAATTGTGCCCATCAATTCTCCTTTGAAGCGACCCTCACTTCTCTCTCACACAGGTGATTCTTTCTCAAGTATCGAATCATACACACCCATGTCAATCGACATTCGAATCATTAAATCATCAATGTGCTAGCCTCGTGCGAGAGTCACTGTTTTTAACGAGGAGTGGTAGGGAGCCCGAGACCCCCATAGTGACACACTTCGTTCCATAATTTAGTTGTTCCATTGAACCTAGGTGCCAGCTAGGTTGGGTATCCACTATAGAACTTTTAGTCCAAGGGCTTAGACCCATTCCTCGTTCCAACTTCTCCACAACCATTTGTTTACCCTCGGGTTAGCAAGTTAACGGCCGCTACATTATCTTTTGACATCACGTAGTCAATAGGGATAACCCCTGTTGTGAGAAATTGTTTAATGGTATTCTGTCTACGACTTATAAGTCTAGACTTACCATTGCACATCTAACTCTGTACTTAACCAATTTTGGCTTGCCTATCGCAACACACACAAAAATTGGAGGTACGAGTTTACCTCTAGGAACATTCCCAAAAAATTGCATGGCATTTCGGCTTACTCGCTCGCGACACGAGTCTAAGGCTCTCAGCTTAGATCCCGTCATGGATCTTAGCCATCACAAATCGTTTTGGGAATTTCCACACAACCAACTACACTAGCTTACCTAACATGATAACATTAATATTATGCAAAGGTGATGGTGGTTGGAGTCGGGGGATGGTGATTAATATTGTTTCCAAAAAGTGCCCCACAGGTACTGGCCCGACAGATCTTCTGTGATGATATAAATCATATACTTATTGTACACAAGGAAGCCCCTTAACTTCCTACACCGCTGCTGGTAAGACTCGATCTCGAATTATTGTTCATAAACTTTATCCATGTGACCAACTGAACTATCAATGCAGAGAATGGTGATTAATTAATACTCCGTATTATGCAAGGTGGTGGACATTGAAATTGGTGCCCTGGACAGTGATTAAATATATTTGTTAATTTAAAAGTTGTTGGCATTATTTATATATTAATATTAATATGAATAATACTTCAGTGTGCATCATTGGACATTGGTGGAGACAATGTTTTACAGATGAGAGAGAAATTAAAACAATTTTTTAACCAGCAGATCAGACCACCTTCATCATCTTTTTATGCAATGTTTGGAGAGTTGTGGCCACACCCACTCATTCATTGACAAAACTAAACAAGCAAATCTGAATATTTTGAAAGAGAGAGAGAGAAATGGCATCTGTTGCTTTGACTTCTCTCAGTGCAACTATGAAGTTGGAGTTTCAGCAACCCAACAATCCAAGGGTTTCTCTTGATGATGAAGCATCCATATCAATCAATTCTTTGTTTGAAAAGATTTCATCTTTGCAAGCTTCTGTGCAAGAGAAATCTGGGGGTGGCCCTGCAACCAGAGATTTGGAGATGAAGATCAGAGACTTTGCACTGGAGGCCGAAGATCGCATCGAAATACAACTCAGCAACTTTCTTCTGGCCAAGAACGCAGAGGACCAACAAAAAGCTTCTCAGCAACTCTTCCAGATCTTGCAAGAAGCGGCAGAAAACGCAGCAGAGTTGCTGAAACTTAGCAGCAGCATAAGCAAAGAAGCAGTGAAGAATGAAAGTGAAGGACCAATGATTCCTTGGATTAAACATTCTCCGGTGATGCTTGAGGGGGGCACAATGGTGGGTCGTCGCCGTGATCATATGCAGATAGTGGATAAACTCGTCCGGGATGATGACTGGGCATTTGAGTTCAAAGTAATCACAATTCTCGGTATGACCTGTATAGGAAAAACAACTTTAGCTACGAGTGTATATAATGATCCAATCGTTACATCCCACTTCGATGTACGAGGTTGGGTTACTATGTCTGGGGAATACAACAAGAGCCAAATGCTACACGACCTTCTTTGGACACTAACAAAGGAGACAAACATTCCTGATGATGATGATGTAGCAGCTAGGCAGGTATACAACTTCTTGAGAGGTAAGAGGTTTCTAATTGTTTTGGATAACTTATGCAACACTCAAGCTTGGTATGATATAAGAGGATGTCTTCCTGATAAAGATGATAATGGAAGTCGCATAGTGCAAACCACTATGCATTTAAGAAGGGATTACTTTTACAGGAATTTCGGTGAGGAATATTGTTCCCTAAATGTTTATGTCCATCCCATGCCTTTGCTAAATTCAGAAGAAAGTTGGGATTTATTTTGCAATAATCCTTTTTTAGAACGACATAATATGGCATCTAAATTTGAAAAAATTAGGAGCCAAGTTGTAGAGATATGTGAAGGATTGCCGCACTCAATTGTTGTAGTTGCAAAGCGTCTATCTAAATGTGACAACATACAACAAGAATGGAAGAAGGTTGAAAAGGAAATAGAGTTGATTGGAGTTCTAGATAGCAGGGCACTCACCCTCACTTACCATCAATTGCCACAACATTTGAAAGTTTGCTTTCTATATTTTGGAGTTTTTCCAAAACGTAGTGCAATCAAAATGAAACTACTTATTAGGTTATGGATTGATGAGGGATTTATTGAGCCTTTGGATAATAAGGGTTTAGAAAATCAAGCTTATGAGTATTTAAAAGAGTTTATTGATAGAAGTCTTATTCTAATCGACAATTGGAGTTTTGATGAAAAAATTAAGAATGGTAGGATTCACAGTGCCTTCCATAGCTTTTGCGTAAGAGAAGCTCAGAAAGAGGGCATTTTATGTTCTTTAAATACTCGGCAACTTCCACAAGAGTCATTTAGCATGTTTGCAAATTCATGCCGTTGGTTAAGTTTATACACACATAAATTTGACTATTATGTGTTGTTAAAAACAAACAACCCTCGTTCTATTTTCTTCTTTCAAGAAGATGCTGAAATATTTGTATCTTTCAAGTTGCTTAGAGTTTTAGCTTTTGTTCCATCCTCGTTTCTTCAAAGAGTGCAAACACGCTTACAGGATTTAGTTTTCTTGAGATACCTATCTGTATCTGAATGGTTTGAGGGTCTTGAGTATGTAGTGTCAACTAATCGAAACTTGCAGACACTTGTTGTTTCTAGTAATGAATCCAAACTTGGAGCCCCTCCGCCTCTCCATTTGCCTTCTACAATTTGGGGGTCATCTCAGTTACAACATCTTGAACTTGACAAATCTTATGTGATTGATCCTCCAAGCATGGATAAAGATAATATGCAGACATTATCTTGGGTGTGTCCAACTCATTGCAGAACAGGATTATATTGCAGGTTTCCAAACATTAAAATTTTGAAAATCTTTGTATCTGACAGCAGTCCAATTATTTTCGATAATCTAGAATGTTTGAAACGACTTGAGAGGCTAACAATTTCAGTTTCGTTAGGCCATGTTGTAACCCTTCCAAAACCATCTGTGTTTCCTTCACAACTAAAGAAGTTGAGGTTGAATGGTATTAACCTTTCGGAGTTGAGGTTGAATGGTATTAACCTTTCGGAGAGGGATTTAACGGCAATTGGCATATTGCCTCAGCTTAAAGTTCTCAAGTTGAAAAATGTGTTTCATGGGAAAGTATGGGAAGTAGAAGAAAGTGGATTTCATAATTTAAAATTCTTGCTTCTTGAAGATAAAACGCTCAAGCAATGGAGAGCTGATAAATATTCATTTTGTTATCTTGAGCGGTTAGTCCTAAGATTTTGTTATGATTTGAAAAAAATTCCTTATATAATGGAATATAGTCGTTACTTGAAGTCAATTGAGTTGCAGCAGTGTTGTCCTTCCGTTATCACGTCTGCAGAGGATATCCAACGATCTAAAAGGGCAACTAGCAGATACGAAATAAATTTTGAGGTTAGAAGCTATTTAATTATTTTTGCCTTTATTTTTCTATTCAATATAATAATGCTAATTTTCTTTACAAAATTTATTGGCAGTTTTCTCTTTAAATTTTAATCTCATTTCACTTTTTTTTTTTTTCATTTTGCATTATCTTTTTTTATATAGATCAAAATCAGATGAATCACAATGTACACACATAGAAGAGTCTATACCTTCAGATGTTGAATGACAAGCTAAGGTATGGATGTATGTTAGAATTGAGTGACAAATTAATTGGTTATCAACTATTCTATATATTTTATATAGCTTTTGATTATATTTTAAGTTATGTATTTGATCCTATTTAGATATCTGGGAAGAATATCTCAGGTCGAATAATCAAATGAAAAGAAGAGCTGAAGATCGATGATGACTATTATAAAACTGATCTAGATTTAGAACATGTTGTACACATACGAGAGTCGATTCTTGTTGTTTAGTTAATTGTGTTCCAATTGTCTAAGTATGTTGTTGGGTTGTGATTATATGTTTTCTTGCACTTTGTGGATATTGCATGCACTTTTTGGGTGTGAAAATATTTTCAATATTTGTCAAGAGATTTGTAATTCAGCAATATAAGTGTGACGAAGGTCTATATTAGAGATGATGAAATTAATTATGTAGGTAAAAAATTTATTTTAAATGCTTAATTTGAATGATTTAAAGTGCATCTAAACAAATTTGGAGCTTGCATTTGTTGCATTCGTCGCTAGGCCCACTGGATATCAGAGTTTGGCTTAATAGTATAATTAATCTTTTGGTTTTTTTTTTTAAAAAAAAAAAAAAAAAAAAAAAAAAACTTTTAGTTCCTCAAAAAGTAACCTTAATTCATACAAAATTGTTCAGAGATATATTTTGTGTCTTATGTTATGAAATCTTACGAGTATGAATTTTTTATGTACCTCATCGTTTCGATCCATGATCCATATGCTATGTGGACCAGATAAATTGTGACATAAACATATGCCCTTAGCTTATTGGCAATCATGAATTTTTGTCAACGGCTAACCAAATCTAGCTACTCATCTGATAATCTAACCGTTCAATTTTTAAACAATAGTTGTTGTTAGTCGGCAATATTAATAGACTCTTTTCTGAATCCCCAAAGTTTTCATAAACGCAATTTCTTATCGTTAATTTTAAATATCTGACTATTTCTTATTTAAAATTTCTTGATTTCTTAGCCGTGGGGGCTATAAAATTTTATTGAGTAAAAGACATTTTTTGTACTAGACTTATACTGGCACGGACAATTTTGGTCCTCATAAAAAATATCAGACAATTTATGGACACTCTTATTGTGACGAGGACAATTTTGATCCTCCGCCACTCTTCCCATTAGATGTCTCGTTTGAGAAGGGGTATTTGCGTCTTTTCATCCTATCTCCTTCTTCATCATCGCTTCTTTACTTACGCCAGTCACCCAACATGGAGCTCCTGTAATGGTGATATGGCTAAGCTTACAGCTGGAAAAAAAAATGCCCGGATCGGAGTGTAAAGCTCATAGCTTTGAACCCTGTGAGTCTTCTCTGCCATTGAAGAAGCTTTTTTTCTAGGGGGGAAACTCTTTTTTTTGTGTGTGCTTTTGTTTCTCCTAGATCTCTATTGCACTTGAGATTTGGTATTGGGTTCTAGGGATTATTATTTTTGTCAGGTTTCTTGTATTTGCAGATAATAGGAATAAAGTATATTAGCAATAACTTGTAGGGGAAAAGTGTTTTTGAAGTTTCTAGGTTTGGGTATGCAATTTCTTCCTCCTTAGTGCCCCCAGATGCAGCCAAGTTCAAGAAAGATAGCGGTTTTGCGAGCAGTGAATCGGTTTCTGTTCTGGATACGAGGAGTCCTAGCCCCTCCACTTCTACCTCCGCTTCCTCATCCTCCCTTAGCGGCGGCGGCAGCGGGTATAAAACAGCAAGTCTAGTGGCTCCTTCCATCGCCACTACCATTCAAACTATGGAGGCTAATCTAGTCGGCATAGGCTCCGGCCAGAAAAAGAAGTGCGTGGGAGAGCTTCACCCTGCGCTGGACTGGAGCGAGGGGCCAGAAAATTTTGATCTTGGAATGGAAGACTGGGAGTGTTTGTTGGCTGAATCTGGCGGGTCGGACCAGTATCTTCTCCGGTGGATTTCCGGCGACGTGGAGGACCCATCTTTAAACTTGAAGCAGCTGCTGCAAGGAGGGAATCCAAGTGAGATTCATTGCAATGTGGGGTTTGGGGCTTCTGATCAAAGCTGTACCCAAATTCTCTCTCATCTCTATTATCTCACGTCTCTCTCTTCTCTAGATTTAATTGTACACACCAACATATACATAAGCACTGCCGTCCCGGCCCCCACCCTCTTGGTCTCCATCCTCCGACGACCAACACCACAGTAGCGGCAAGTGGATCCGGTAAAGACTGAACAACGACGAACAGCAGCATCTCCGGTGACCTTTGACCTTGGTTTTCCAGTGATGGGTGACTGCCGTAAGTAAAGAAGCAGACTAGATGTTGATGAAGAAGGAGGTAGGATGAAAAGACGCAAATATCCCTTATCAAACGGGGCATTTAACGGGAAAAGTGACGGAGGACCAAAATTGTCCTCGTCACAATAAGAGTGTCCACAAATTGTCTAATTTTTTATGAAGGACCAAAATTGTCCATGTCACTATAAGTCTAGGACTAAAAATGTCTTTTACTCGAATTTTATTTGTAGTGAAGAATATATTTAAAGATTATTAAATATTTTACTATTCAAACTTTAATGTCAAGCGTGATTTCAGCTGGAAAATAAATCCTTTCGCTAACTAAATCACATGATAGCCTAAGACTCCCTACCTCTTAACATAAATTCTTACATAGGATTCTATATGTAACACTTTCAATCCTTTTCTTCATAAGTTGTGGTCCCCCATTGAGCTAGTCTTAGGTCACTGCCTTAATGACTTCTTCTTTAGTATATGGTCCAAATTAAATTAAACATTCTGTTTAAATCTTTGTCATAATATTCATACAGCAGCCTCCGATCTTTTTTTATGTTGGTATCATTCTAGGTATCATTACTATTATTGGGAATGTGGTTGTCAAACATGTTTTGCGATTGGTGAATTTTATAGGTCATGTTCTTGTGAAAGTTACGTGTTTCCTGTCTGATCCAAGAGATTGGAGTCTTGTTCCATCCTCTTGCACTTGTGATCTCCTTTAATTTAATAATGTTTTTTTAATCACAATCTTTTCAAATGTATGATTACATGAATATTAATGTAAAGTGTAGTATAAAAAAAAATTAATTCAAAGTAGCATTATCCATCAACATCTGGTTTGCTTGCATATCCACACTTCAAAATAAAGATTGCTCACAATTACCCATGCATTCACTAATATGTAAAAGTGTACTAAAAAAATATGTGCACCTAGTGATATGTATAAAAATATAAATAAATGATAGATTAATTGATGCACTTTGTAAGTTTGCATGGCGGAGCACGGGCTTTTTGAGTTACACTTGTACCTATTATCATATTCATTTTGGCCCTGTTTACTAACATAACTTTTCAATCAATTTTGACATGTTTAACTAGGGTGTTAACGAACAGAGCTTTCGACAAACTACTCGTGTTCGTGTTCGTGTTCGGTAAGCGTTCGTTTATGTTCATTTGTTAAGGTAAACGAACCATTAACAAACAAAATTTAGAGCTCGGTTAATAAACGAACAGAGCTTGAACAGTTGTATGTTCGTTTGCTAAGAGATCGTGAACAAGCTCGTTTGTATTCGTTTAATAATGTTCGTGAACAAGCTCGTTTGTGTTCGTTTAATAATGTTTGTGAACAAGCTCGTTTAGTGTTCGGTTAATAATGTTCACGAACATGTTCACAAACATATATACATATTTTATATTGTGATCATGAACGTTGATTATTTCTTGAACGTAGATTATTTGTTGTTCACGGACGAATTGTGATCATGAACATGTGCAGGTGTTTGGTTATTAAAGGTTCACGAACGTGTTCATGAACGTAAACCAACATGTTCGTGAACGTGCTTGTTAACGAACATGTTTGTGAACGTGTTTGTTAACGTTAACAAACACATTCGCGAACATGTTCGTTAAGGTAAACGAACAAGTTCGCGAACACTTATGAACGCTTAACAAACGAACACGAACAGGATTTTCAAAAACCTTAACAAACGAACACGAACACGAACACGAACACTCCAAAATTCTTAACAAACGAACACGAACAACCTCCGTTCGTTTATGTTCGGTTCGTTAACAGCCCTATGTTTAACCACTATTAGTTGTTTGATTTGATCAAACAGTCTATTTAGTTAATAAGTTTTTTATAATAACTTATTACTCTAAAAAGCTAAAATTTAAAAAGTTGTTCAAAAGAGCTTTTTTCAACCAACTTCATTCTTGAGAAAATAAATTATTTTCTCCAAAAATACCCCCAATAATTTAAAAAAGAAAAAAAAAAAAAAAAAAAAAAAAAAGAGACTGTGTAGACGGGTTTAGGAGTCTCATCTGCTAGTCTCGTTAATATTATTGTCTTTTCATGGTATTATATGCAACGGGGTGCTTCAGCCCATCGACGGAGCTCATAAACCCGTTACGTAGTACTATGAAGGTAATTAGCAACGGGACATATGATAATTGATTAGTGCTCAAAGGCTTTCTAAGCCTGTGAACATGTTTCAAATTTTTTTATATAAATTCTATAATAATAATAATAATAATAATAATAATAATAATAATGATAATAACAACAACAACAACAACAACAACAACAACAACAACAACAACAACAATAATAATAATAATAATAATAATAATAATAATAATATTAATATTATTATTATTATTATTATTATTATTATTATAACATAATACACTCATATATATTTTAAAAATTATTTTGCATGCAATCAACTAAAACTAAAAACTAATTTACCAAATATATTTTTCTACAATAATGCAATTAGCTAGTTAGTCAAATGGGCTAACGCAATGTGCTAATAGTTATCAGCTAAGTCAATCCACTATCAACTATCAACTATTAACCAAACACCCCTTTTCATAATTTTATGTGGTGATTTTTCTGATTCGTTCACACTCACCTGATCACACCCTGTCTAATCATATAGAATAAGTCTATTATGAAGAAGCCTGAAGAGTAGACAAAATATTGGTATAAAATTCCAACAACGTGTCCATTCTCACCTGATCACCCCTTTTCTAAGCATATAGAATAAGTCTTTTAGGAAGCAACAAATTAAGTGTTGAGCTGTCGAGGCAGATGCAGGATTCTCTCAAATCTTCTGGAAATGAACATTAACACTGATTTTGATACCTTCACCTATCATATTCATGGAGAGATGAAGGCAGCATAGCCAGGGCCGAGTCCACGACATTGACGTCTTAGGTTGGGGAAAACTCGACGTACGGAAATGCTCCACGCTTTCAACAATGTCTCTTTTATGTGATTTTTTTATATATACATTAAATTTTATATTAATGTATATATTTCCACATCTTACCTTAACTTTACACTCTGTTCACAAGGGGTCTTCATCACCTCTTATAGCAATAATTTTATATTATCCCAAAAATAAAATTTTAAGGTAATCAGTCCAATCAATTAAGCTAGTGCTACGGGATTAGCTTTTATGTGACTTCTTTATATATATATATATATATATATATATATATATATATATATATATATATATAGTGGCGGACCCAGAAAAATAGTTGAGTGGGGGCGAAGTTAAAATAATAAAAATTGTTAAGTCTATAACAAAATGTCAAGCATCAAGATCTTATAAATTAGGGACAGAGCCATAAATTTTTTTCAGTGGGGCGGCGAAACATTAAAACAAAAGAGATGGCTTAAAAAAAATGAAACACTTAAGAAGTTAGCCATAAATATTATTAGATATGAGCGAAAAATAAAACACATATGAGCGAAAAATAAAACACATATGAGCGAAAAATAAAATACATCAAAATTTTAATATTGTTAGATATAAGTGAAATATAAAACACATCAAAACTTTACAAAAAAATATATTTATAACAAAATATAAAACACAATTAATTTGATAAAATAATTCTAATAGAAAACACATTATAAATTACACATCTCATTATTATTAATATAAAAGTATATATATCACTATTAATTTGTTTTTCTGAAAGCCTCACCGAGTCACCATTATTATTCAAATTTTTGAAAGCCCCACCACTATTATTCAAACAGCCATAATATAAAAAGTATATATATCACCATTAATTTGTTTTTTTAAAGCCTCACCATTATTATTCAAACAAAGAGCCATAAAAATGGCATTCTAGCCAAGTATGCCATAAAATGGATTTGAACCCCTAACCTTTCATAAACTAACACACAAACTCAACTATCTAAGCTGATCCATTTCTTGTTAATGTTTGCTGTTTTCTTTTACTTATACTAAAGCTTATATATATATATATATATATATATATATATATATATATATATATATATATATATATACACAAGGATTATATATGGGGTGGGGTGGGGAGCTACCCCCACTGCCCCCATTGTAAGTCCGCCCCTGTATATATATATTGTCGCATCATCTACTGCCCTGTTGACTTGGTATTTGTTTAGTACCGTGCACTGACAAATAATGGATCTTTACTTGCGTCCCAAAAGCGTGGACGTTTATGTGTGAGGGCCTAATGATATTTACTTGTTCGTTTTTAATTGGAGGAGGTATTTGTATTTAGAGCAACCCCAATAAAATTTTTAAGGTGATTTTTGAGGAGGTTTTGTTGAAATGAAAGAGAGAAAAAGAGGGGAGAGAATTGAAGAAGTGAGATCTTTGAGTAAGAACCTGGTTTTTGTTTTCAAAGTGGGACCTATCCAAAAAAATTCGCCCGAGTCGCATGACGCACACCACAACCTGGTTTTTGGCCGGGCGCATACACTCACACGCCCGTTGGCCATGTTAATTTGGAATTTTTCTCTTTTTTTTTTCCCCTTTATTCCCCTCCCTCCCATTCCTCTTTCCTACTTGGATCCTAAAAACTTGTGCAAAAACTAGTGTTATTGAGGATGCTATTAGAATAATTGGAGGGATATATGACCAGTGTTAAAAGGTTTGGAATGGGCACGGATTAAAGGCGTTCGAAAACTTACGGGCTATTTGTTTGGTTGTAAATCTAATTCTTTTCCTATTTTATTTTATGACAAAACAAATTACAGTATTTGATTAAAAAGAATTCCAATTTCCTCCTTTTGTTGAATTGTAATTCATGGGTATTGGGTACCCTTCATGAATTGTAATTCAGTGGTTGGGGAAAAAGAAAAAATGGAGGAAATGACAAACGGGCTCTTGGTTGTTGTTGTTGTTGTTGTTGTTGTATATTTTAGTCTTAATATCACTTCTTTCCTTCTCATTCCTAATAGTTCTATTCATCCCTTGTGACCTGAATAATGTTGTTGACAAGATTGCCAAACTAGCTCTAGAAGGAAGTGCGATTGGAATGAATTTCAGAGTCCGCCAGAGGAAATTTCAGATCTCCTTACCTTGAGGTTGATAGAGCCAAGACTTCGGAAGAATGCTTGATGTAACTATTGAGTGCTAGTCGGGGACGAAAAGTGCAACGCCAATGATAGTATACCATTTATGTAGTAGTGATTAGGGACGAATTAAGTGACGTAGTATATTAAGTGACGTAGTATACCATTTATGTAGTAGTGATTAGGGACGAATTTGCAATTTTAATATAACTCAGGGACGAAAAGTGCAACGCCAATGATAACTTAGGGACTGAAAGTGAGCATGAACAACACTCAGGGACGAATTCTACAATTACTCTATAACTCAGGGACGAAAAGTGCAACGCCAATGATAACTTAGGGACAAAAAGTGAGCATAGCCAACACTCAGGGATGAATCCTACAATTACCCTATAACTTAGGGACGAAAAGTGTAATTTTCCCATATAATAACAATATATTTCTATGCTTCCTAATTTCCATATACAATGTATTTATTTATGCTAAATTACTAATACATATAATAATTAACCTACTAAAATTATACTAACCATACAAGGGAATAATTATACATAATTTCTTCATACTAATAAATCATATCTAATTATGCACTCTAATTGATATATTCTTTTCTTTCAGACTCTCCCTAATTAAGCTACACAATTTATTTCTATGATTATTATAGATTTAGGGGCGTATCACAACGATTTGCGGATGAGAAGAATCATGAGTGTTGCAAGCAATGGATCCCAAAAGGATTGGAATGTTGTTACGGTCGCACATATCTTTCGCGAACGAAACTGTGTTGCCGACAAATTAGCCAAGAAAGCTCCGTGTCAAAGCACTACATGGTGTAGTTTGGAGTCTCATCCCATGTTTTTTAGGCAATACTTGATGGAGGACTAGTTTGGGGTACCAAGAGCCATGGGAACAATGATGCTACACTAGTAAGATTACAAGGTGGACTTGGGTCCACAGAATATTTATACCATCTCGATTTACCTTGTAAGTTAGACCCGCATTCAAAATACACAATTTATTTTTACAAAATTGTGAATATTCAGTATGTAACCAGTGTATTTTAGATTTGGATTCACATAATAGTTTGTCAGTAGGACTAGCCTCGGGCTTGTTCTTCCCCTTTTGATCCAAAAAAAAAAAAAAAAAAAAAAAATTCAACATAAGAGTTAATTCCCAATTCAAAATGGTCCTCGGACTATGGTCTTTTCTCAAATTGGTCCTTTCACTTTTAATTTGCCCAAAGTGGTCATCCGACTTTTGAATTTTATGCCAAAATGGTCCTCTGTTAGCTTTGGCGTTAAGTTGGTGTTAAAATGAAGGGTAAAACTGGAAATTTAGATTTTGCACTCCAATTTAAAGTAATCTGTGATTCCTTTTAGCAATATGTGGAAGGTCGCGTCGGAATGGTCACGCATCTATACCATCATGCCAACTATGACTACAAGCGCAACATCTATAGAGGACCAGCTTGAAAGCATCACTAAGGCGCTTGAAGGGATGCCCACCCTCCTTCAAAATCAAGAAAAGAGAATCAACGACTTAGCTGAAAAGGTCGAGAGCACAAGGAATGTCGAAACTAGTCAGGCTCTTGGGAAACAACTTGAGGTTCAAGGAGAAGACGCCTCGCACTCATCAACTTGCATTGGGCAAACTACGACACACGAGGAATCAACTTCACACATACCAGTTTCGGATAGGAGCATTCTAGTCACCAGGGGCATGATACCGGTAGATCGTCTTAACGAGTTCATCATAGGAGCTATCAAAGAAAAGCTCGAGGGAGGACAACCTTCATACACATATGCCAAGCCTTACACCCAAAGGGTTGATGATTTGAAGATGCCCGTTGGCTATCAACCTCCAACATTTCAACAGTTCGATGGGAAAGGCAATCCCAGACAACACATTGCCCATTTCGTGAAAACATGCAATAACGCTGGGACATAATTTGTTGGAGAAGAAAAATAAATAAATATTTATTTTAAGGATAAATATATCAATTTAACATTTCAGGGAGAAAAAAGTTGCCACTTAAATAATTCAGGAAGGAAAATGTTATAAATGTATAACTTCGGGGGAAAAAGTGATATTTTCCCTTAATAAAATGTTGCTATTTATGGGAAACAATTTTCTAAGCAAACCATGTAACGTCATACATGGTGTAATTGCTTACTTCATGGATGAGGTACTTTGTCACAGCTGTACAACTCAATTTTATTCTGAAATTTCAATGATAATTTTGGAATAATAATAATAATAATAATAATAATAATAATAATAATAATATTATTATTATTATTATTATTATTGTTATTATTATTATTCATTAACTAAGTAGCTCACAAAGTTAATGGTTGTTAAATAAAAAGTTTACATATGATAAAATATGACATTTGAATTTTATTATTTTACGTTTTAATATAATTAGTGAATTTTATTACTTTTTATTTTATTATGAGTAAATAATTTTAATATTATTTAAAAAAAAAAACTTGTTTGTTAGATAATCATATCAGGAGATAATGGGATTTGAAAAAAGTTCATTTACAGACATCGGGAGTGGGGTGGGTAGAAAAAATATAAAATGAGTTGGGTGATGGATGTAGCTAATTCTGATTTATTTTCGGTATATTGTCATCCTTACAATCGTACGGGGATCTTGTGTTTGTTTGCTTATTGGTTTAAGTCCTTAAGTTCGGGTTACATGGCAGTGGATCAGAGGTTTTCGGGCTTAAGTGAAGGTTTGTAAATTGCCAAAATTAAAGTCTACATTCTTTGCATTTAATGCGGTATTTATAGGGGGTGTAAGGGAACAGCTATCGATTTCTCGACATGCATGGCACGTGAGACGCATGCGGAGAGCGAGGTCGGTGGTTCAGGCTGCTCTGTCCATGTGTTCGTAGATTCCTGACGCCATAGGATCCACTATCGTTGAATTCGACTGGTAAGACTAAGCCAAAGGCTCCAAGTATCGAAGGTCGAGTGCTCGATCCCGACCTAATGTGATCGGGGCAGAGTAATTGGATTGTGTTAGGAACATATGTATTAGGATTTTGATGATACCAATGTAACTTAGATTGTAGACCCCTAACTTTTTATCATTTCTTTCATTACCTTCGTTTTAGACGAAAGGTGCCATAACTCATCATGTAATTCGTGTTAAGATAGTCAAACACACGAAACTGAGTTATGATTCTCTAGTTAGGTCTACGAAAACGAAAGAAGATCGAAGGGTTGAAGCTGAAGCTACATCTGCAAGAGAAACCACCTCTTGGATCTTCATCTAATGGAGAGATGCTCCTTTTTAGGAAGAAAGTAATCTTTCATGAAAAGACATCAATTGGACTGCCAAGACAATCCATCTTCTCCTAATTCAAGAAGAATGTGTTTTTGTCTCAGCTGATGAATCATCCTAGGAACAAGACGTTTTAAGGACAAGGAGCACACAAATCAAGGTGCATTAAATGCCATAGTACCACTTTTCAGAGCTAGAAGACAAAACATGAAGAAGCTCTTGCCTCCAACGACTATATGGTACAACCGCATTTAATGAAGCAATAAATGCACCAGGCTCACCAGTTTTTACCCACTGGTCCATAGGTTTGAAATACCATCTCCCTCCAATGGATGGATATTTTCTCTCCTATAAATATCCATCTTCTCCATTATAGAAGGTGCTGGTTTTTATTACAACTGACCATACATATCCAAAAGCTCCTTATACAAGTTCACTCTCTCAAGCTTTTGAAAACCAGTGTTTCAAGGTGTGAAGTTTACAAGAAGGACTATCAGATTTCACCTTCTCAACCTTGAAGAAGTCTTGCATCTTATATACGTTGATCATCCAACATACAACCAACCAGCCAAGACTTCAACCTGTTGGAGAAACACACAAATCTTTTCTACCAACCCTCAAATCTGAAGAAGACGTTGATAGAGGCGGAGTAAACTCTAGGAGTTGAAAAACCTACAAGCAGCTGTCCGGCTTAGTGATCAAGGAAGCTAACTTGGTTTAGTTTGTACTAGGAGTGATAGTGCAAACCTTTCACGAGTTGTGAAAGAAGAGTGGAGTAGGCACAGTTGGCCGAGCCACTATAAAAATCTCTCGTCCCTATCTCTTTACTTTCTGCCTGCTTTACTTTCGTGCATTGCATATCATACTCTATCACAATAGACATTTCTCATAAAGCAACAAACAGTGCAAAGTAATATAAAACTCGCTTAACTATTCCGCTGCGTAATAACCCCAAAAGGAGTTATTTTCGTGAAATCGAATTGAGTCTATTCACCCCCCCCCCCCCCCTCTAGACTCTCCTTTCGACCCTACCGGAACCAACAAGTGGTATCAGAGCAGTTACCTTGATCGGTAAACGCTTTGCCTTTACTGTCTGGTAGATCCCTCTTTAAAATTCCCTAAAACTGCATCTTTTCATCTTTGCACTAATTTTTCAAAGAGAAAATGGAAAAAGATCATTCTAACCGATCTAGGCCTCTTGCTTTCAAGATATTGAATCGGGATTACAATCAACCCACATTGATGATGAATTCGAAAAAGGAATTTCTGGCAATGCCTCGAATTCTCAAGGTGTGAAAGGCTTGTACTTTATGCAAGGCATTTTTAATCGGATTAATACTTCAAGCTTATAAAATTTGTATGTTTCCAGTTGATACGTCCCCATCTTGTGACAAAGTTAATCCCGTTAATGAGACTATATGTGAGTATTCAAATGAAGAATGTTGTTCCTCTCTTCAAGTAACTTCGATGTTCATATCACTAGCAGCAGCTATTCCCAGCCTGAAATTTTCAGAAAGTGTAAGTAACGCCTTTCATTGTTTCACTATCTGACCTAAACTCGATTCAATGCTGACACTGCTTTTTTCATTCATTTCAGGAGAGACAATTCCTACTAAAAACGCTTGGAATGGAATCTACGTCTTCGAATCCAAGCATCCTCCATCGTGCAAGAGGGCCCTCCTCCATAGTTTATGACAAAACTTACCCACCAATCTCATGCATATTCTGCGGGGCTCAACCACCATGACTTTTCGTCCAAAAATTTCAGGCATGTGTAGATTTTTTTTAAGCCAATTTTCCGTTGGATTGCAGTCATTATGACCTGAGTTTTTACAAAGAGGCCATGAAGATCTGGTCCCAAAGACCACAATCTAGAATGCAATGGAGCATCCTAGTATTTTCCGAAGATCTGATAAGATGGTCTGCATCCTTTCTCAACTTACCAGCCTAATACAGTGTCTAGAGTGTTGTATGTGTGTTTTTTTTTTTTTTTTGTTGTGTCACATTCTTTTGTGTGTTGTATGGGAGAGTTGGATAGGGCATCCAATAATGTTCCCATAAGGCTTTTTTACGGTATTTATTTGCCAATTGTACAGAATATATAGAATGTAGTTACATATTGGCACATCGCCATTGATATAGAACATATCAAAAAGAAGAAGAATACATTGATAGAAGAGGGGAGGATCAACATCAACCAGTTGAATTAACCCCTCCCTCCCTAGCATTTTTGCTTCGTCTGCAGAGTTTAGATAATAAGTTTTGTGGTGTTCTTCTATTTCTCTCATCTTTATGTAACATTTAACTAAATACTTT